AGAAGGAACACTAGTGTGGATGAGTTATATTGGATTCTGAGCTGGGTTCATTTGATCTGAGAATCTGGCATTAACGAATGTCAAGTGATCCAGTGTCAAGTGACAGAAATTGACAAAATGTGGACGAAGCACTGCATGTGACCAAAGTAGAAAAAGACAGCAATGAAAGGCATGGGAAGGGAGATGCGACGTTGAAGTAAAATGAGAACTAGAGACATTGCCCTATAAAAGCATTTCTGCTTTCTGCTCAAATGCTGACTAAGACCTTCTCTAAGGTTTGGAAGAACCAAGAAAAAAAGGTTAAATGAGAGCTAATTGGCCCAAGCTGGAACTGTGAAGACTCCTCAAAAAGTCTTCTTCCAAGTATACATTGCTTTTTCTTTAATTAGAGCACCACCCTGGACTAATTAAGGAAGGTTCGCCTCTTCAACCTGAAGATACAACACAGGCCTTCAGACCAGAGGGAGCCATCCTTTTTGGTAATTATATCTTCTGCTATGATTGTGGCCTTTTGCGTAATGGTAGCCTTGGGAAAGCATGCTAAATTCATTAAGCTATTTTAAGATCTTAATCAATATCTTAAATGTGTAATTAATAATATCTTAAATGTGTAATTAACAATCAATATCTTAAACCTGTAATTAATAAAATGGATTTACTTGCCTAAGTAGGTTTACGAAAAATAGAATAACAGAGTTGAAAAGGACCTTGGAGGTCTTCTAGTCCAACCTCCTGCCCAGGCAGGAAACCCTACACCACTTCAGACAAATTGTTATCCAACAACTTCTTAAAAACTTCCAGTGTTGGAGCATTCACAACTTCTGGAGGCAAGTTGTTCCACTGATTAATTGTTCTAACTGTCAGGAAATTTCCCCTTAGTTCTAAATTGCTTCTCTCCTTGATTAGCTTCCACCCATGGCTTCTTCTTCTACCCTCAGGTGCTTTGGAGAATAGGTTGACTCCCTCTTCTTTGGGGCAACGCCTGAGATATTGAAACACTGCTATCATGTGTCCCCTAGTCCTTCTTTTCATCAGACTAGACATACACAGTTCCTGCAACCGTTCTTCATATGTTTTAGTCTCCAGTCCCCTAATCATCATTGTTGCTCTTCTCTGCACTCTTTCTAGAGTCTCAACTCTAGATGTCTTTTTTACATCATGACGACCAAAACTGAATGCAATATTCCAAGTGTGGCCTTACCAAGGCATTATAAAGTGGTAAATATGGCATCTATTCAGTGTTGTTAAACTGTTGTAATACCAGTACTGTTAGCATAGTCCCAACTGGGATCAGGATTAACAGATAATTCCAAGTAGCAACGAAGCCATTTTTTAAAGAAATGCAAATGGCTACTAAACTATCAGAGGAGGATGCACCAAGATAGGATGAGAACCAGGGGTGGTATTCACTTACCTTCACTATCGGTTCGCAAATGGGAGTGTGCACATGCTCTCTCTCGCTTCGCTCGCATGCGCCACCTTCGTGCATGGGCAGGACCTTCTGCGCATGCTCAGAGTGTCAAAAACGGGACATGATGATGTCTGGGTGGGTGGCCGGAGCCTCCCGCATCCGCCGCTACTGGTTCTCACGAACCGGATAGAACTGACTGAATAGCACCACTGATGAGAACTATAAACTGAACCCCACATCTAGCTGTGGTCCTGACATTTGGAGAAAGTTCAGTGGTGTTGCAGGACTTCTTTAGTTTGCAATATTAGTTTGCAATATTCAGTGCAGGCAGCAAAGTTGTTGGCAGAAGGGAGGTCAAAAAAGTCAAGATGATTATGTTTTATAAACAAAAATTACTTAATTGGTGTTGTATAAATGGTATGGTTTGATAGATAGAATTTAGGATAATTGGGAAATTGTGTTTAAAAGCATTATTTGAACTAAGAACTATGTTTAAATGTTTAATTGCTATATTTCTAAAATTAAAAAGATAAGATTTAAATTTGATAAAGTAATAATGGAATAAAGATTTAATGAGCATAATGATATATAAATATGTTTGAATTGTATTGTTAATAGTGAGGTTTTAGGGTAAGAATTGTTGTATTATGAGTTATTAATTGAATTAAGAATTAAGGTGGGTTAATAGAAGGGTAATTGTTTTGATTAAGTAAATATGTGTTAATTTTTTAAAGATGGTATTAGTTGAATATGTGACATAAGATTTAGAAATAAGTACTATGACAAAATAGTATAGTTAAAATTTTGTTAAAGATTTTGTTAAAAATTGAACAAAGTGATGACCGGATCAAAGCTCTGTTACGAAAGGATGTCATTTGTATGTTTGGAAAAAAATAAAAAAAACTTTTTGCAAAAAAAAAAAAAGTCAAGATGGCAGCCTTCACTTTGTGACACAAATAAAAAAAAAATGGAGTTTCAGTCACATAGTGGACATCTCCTTTCGTTTTTTTAAGCCCTGTGGATATTTCAGGCAACCAGAATGCAACCAAATATAAACCATAGGTAAGCAAGGCCGCCAAGAATTTTTGAGCTCTTGTAAAACAATTAGCATGGAAAAATCAGATTGAGTTGAGCAGATTGAGTACAAACTCAGATTGAGTTATACAAATGGAAGCCCTGAAAAAAACAAGTGAATACATCCAGGATTAAGAATGTTAAGAAGGAAAATGCCCAGGAATGAATAGGCTGCATGTTACTAAAAATGGCAGATAGCGTTCTCTTTCACTCAAGCCCATGAATCACTGAAGCCATGCAATGCTTTTGGGAATTTATGGTCGCTATGATATAAAAAAGACATTGAGACCTTGGAAAGAGTATAGAGAAGAGCAACAAAGATGATTAGGGAACTGGAGGCTAAAACATATGAAGAACAGTTGCTGGAACTGGGTACGTCTAGTTTAATGAAAAGGACTAGGGGAGACATGATAGCAGTGTTCCAATATCTCAGGGGCTGCCATAAAGAAGAGGGAGTCAAGCTATTTTCCAATTCTCTGCCTCCCGAATCCCAGTTGATCGGGAGGAAATGGGGATTTTGCAGTAACCTTCCCCTGGATTGGGGACGGAATGGAGATTTTACAGTATCTTCTCCTGGAGTGGGGTGGGAATGGAGATTTTACAGTATCCTTCCCCTGCCACACCCACCAAGCCACGCCAACCAAGCCATGCCACGCCCACCAAGTCACACCCACAGAACCGGTAGTAAAAATTTTTGAAACCCACTACTGCTACAAGTTCCAATTTACATATAAATTCAAGTTAAAGACAGATTTACTTTTACTTTACTTTTATTTGATTTATATACCGCCCTACTCCCGAAGGACCCATTCCATTTAGGAATGGAACTTGTTCTTAATCTGGGGACTGTCTATATTACTCTATTTGGTTCAGTTAAAACTGAGACAGATATGGTAAGTATCCCATGGATCAGTTTAACAGTCATACAAGGAAACTTAAAAGAGCTTCAGGTTTGTTAAATTCAACTTAATCAGTGTTCACAACAAACTTCTGAATGGAGTTGATTGAAGATTAAATAAAGCAGAATTTCTCCTGATATCAAGTACGAAGGGAAGACCAGAAGCATCAAGAGATGTAAAAAAGCATAACAAAACAAAAAAACTAAAGACATTCTGAATGAACTCTGATGGGATTGAAAATCTTTTCAGAATAGTTGTGGGTGTACAGAAACATGTCTCTGAGGAAAAGGAACTTTGTCCCTGTTACTGATGTAATAGTAATTCAAAGCATGTAAACACAACTGAAAATAGCTGATTCATTTCCATTGTGCTTGCTCATGCTTTTGTCATTCTTCTTAGTCATGCACAGAAGTTCTCTAAAAAAGAAACTTGCAGGATAATTTAATATTGAAGCATGTTTGGGAATGTGAACTTTTTGATTCTCTCTCAGAAATGCTGAGAGATGGACATCTGCACTTTGAAAATAGTAGAGAGAGCATAGGAGACAAATGGTAACATTGTCTGGTTCCCCCTTGTGAAGGTAATAGATTTTTTAAAAAAATTCAACTAAGTAATATAACCTGAGATTTGATTACTATGTATGATATGTGGATTTGGTGTCTTTCATTGGATAAGTTTTTTTTCCAGAAAGTATTTTATGAAAGAAAAGTCATAAATGTTCTGGAGGAATACTAAAAGCAGGAGCTTATATCTGTTGAGAGAAGAACAACTGTAATTATTTTGGTGGGGTTTTTTTACATGTGATTTTAAGATAGATTTGCAGACTTTTGGAAATCCAAAAATTGACTCTGAAGTAATAGGGTTTGAAGTAGGAAATTATATCTACGGTAGTGGCCAAAATTGTGGAAACCTTTTGGGAAAAGTATATTTTCTAAAAGTAGCCAATAACACCTCCTTTTTTTTTGAGTAGTACCATAAAATTATATATCAATGGAAAGATAGTTTAATCAAGAATATAAAGCTGTATGGTGTTTTTGGAAGATATATTAATTAATACCTAAGCTGCTAAGTTTTTATTTTTTTATTTGATGGTTTACAAATTTGCAGTTATTGAGATGTGAACTTTTTAATAGTTATTTTATAGGGATTTTTTTTATAATTATGGAACAGTGAACTACCCTAAATTGTGTTTAAGATTGGTGGCCATAAAATTTACTAAATGAAAAAAACAGCCAAAAACAGCCAAAATAAATTAAGATGGTGCTGCCAGAAAGCAATAGAATGAAGTCATAACATGAGAAAATGTGTGAATGTATTTGAGTGATTGGGAAGAAAGATATGGCTATCAGGCGCATGATTAAAAAAAAATGATGGGAATCAGGACTGGAAACAAGATTTGGTTTTGAATTTTTTTCCTCCTAATACTCTTGTGAGTGTAGCCTGAAAAGTACAATGGGGCAGCTCTCTAGAGAAGACTATACTGTAAAATCTGGGGAAACTGGAAGGAAAGAGAAGAAAAAGGATAACCAGCAGGAATGGGGACGGACACAGGGATGGGTTCTACTTACTTTTACTACTGGTTCGCAATGGCATGCGCAGATCGCCGATGACGACATCCAGGGCGGTGGGTGGGCCTCCCGCCGGTTTTACTACTGGTTCTTGTGAACCGGTCCTAACCGGGGGCAACCCACCACTGGACGGACAGGATTACAGCAGTGATGGGTGCGCTGTTGAAGACCTGAAGTTCTGAAGAGCTAGGTCGGGAATAGATTAGTAAGTCTCAGTGTGATGCTAAGAATTGATAACTAATTGATGGCATATAATCAGTCAATGGGTCCTCCATGCAACCATTCTGTCTTTGACTTTGTACCTCATTAGACTAGACTAGACTAGACTAGACTAGACTAGACTAGACTAGACTAGACTAGACTAGACTAGACTAGACTAGACTAGAATAGAATAGAATAGAATAGAATAGAATAACAGAATTGGAAAGGACCTTGGAGGTCTTCGTGTCCAATCCCCTGCTCAGGTAGGAAACCCTATACCCGTGATGGCTAACCTATGGCACGCATGCCACAGGTGGCACGTGGAGCCATATCTGTGGACAGGTGAGCATTGCCCTAGCTCAGCTCCAGTGCACATGTGCATGCTGACCAGCTGATTTTCGGGCCTTCCGTGCCCACTGGAATTCGGGAAACGGGCTGTTTCCAGCCTCTGGAGGGCCTCCGGGGGGATGGGGGTGGGGAACGCCGTTTTAACCCTCCCCAGGCTCCAAGAAAGCCTCTGGAGCCTGGGGAGGGTGAAAAATGGGCCTACTGGGCCCACTGTGCCATTGCGTGCCAAAAGCGGGGGGAGCGCAGGGTCACTCACGAATGCGTGGGGTGGGGCACATTGAATTATGGGTGTGGGCACATAGGTGCGTGACACCCTTCCTTGCAACCCCTGCTTTTGGCACGCGACAGCAAAAAGGTTAGCCATCACTGCCCTATACCATTTCAGACAAATGGTTGTTCAATCTCTTCTTAAAATCTTCCAGTGTTAGATCACTCGCAACTTCTGGAGGCGAGTTGTTCCACTGATTAATTGTTCTAACTGTCAGGAAATTTCTCCTTAGTTCTAGATTGCTTCACTCTTTGATTAGTTTCCATCCATTCCTTCTTGTCTTGTCCCACCTAATACTGATGGTTAAAATAAAGAGTTGGAAATGGGGAAATGAAGAAAGTCAAGTCAATTATCTTACAGCCTTTACTTATTACTGGGTTAAAGTACTACTCACTTATGCCTGAGTTGGCAGAAAACTACCCTGGCGTGACCCATGATATCCCATCCTTCCTTTATTACTCATGTTTTTCAACACTGCAATCCTCTGTGTCCTTCAGGGTTAATGATGACAAAGTCCAACAGATTTTATATGCTTAGAGGCTGCCCTTGGAGGGTGTCAGAAGAAGGGAGAAAATATTACTTAACAGTGAAATAGTTAAAGAAAGTCTAAGTCCATCTTGCCCATGGACTAGAGATGAGATTAAGGCAATATCATGGCTTTTAAAAACGATGCTTACACTTAGTGACTGTTTGAAGTTACAGCCAACCCAAAAAAAGAGGAGTTACAATCTGGAACTGAAGTTCCGATGTTTCTCCCATCCCCACAGTCATGTGACTGCGCTTTGGACACTTAGTAGATGCTTGCAGTGTCCTTGTGCTGTATTGGGAGTGGTGGGAAGGCTTCTATTCTTTGGTTTAGATGGGATTACAGGGGGGACTATGTCTAGGGCAGCCAGAGTCATTTTGGGTCTGATGCAGAGGTGGTATTCAGCAGGTTCTGACCAGTTCTGGAGAACCGATAGCGGAAATTTTAAGTAGTTTGGAGAACCAGTAAATACCATCTCTGACTGGCCCCGCCCCCATCTATTCTCTGCCTTCTGAGTCCCAGCTGATTGGGAGGAAATGGGGCTTTTGCAGTAACCTTCCCCTGGAGTGGGGAGGGAATGGAGATTTTACAGTGTCCTTCCCCTGGAGTGGGGAGTAAATGGAGATTTTACAGTATCCTTCCCCTGGAGTGGGGAGGGAATGGAGATTTTACAGTGTCCTTCCCCTGGAGTGGGGAGGGAATGGAGATTTTACAGTGTCCTTCCCCTGGAGTGAGGAGGGAATGGAGATTTTACAGTATACTTCCCCTGGAGTGGGGAGGGAATGGAGATTTTACAGTTTTGTTTCCCTGCCACGCCTACCAAGCCATGCCACACTCACCAAGCCATGTGGTATACTAAAAAATTTTGAATCCCACCACTGGTCTGATGGAATTCGGCAAGGAGATGAACTGGGTTTTTGACTCTGCTTGTGTCCAAAAGACAAGGTGCAGTCTTCATTGTGTTTGTTCGATTTATTTTCTCCACCACACAGGAATGGGATGTGTTGCAGGGGTGGGTTCTACTTACCTTTACTACCGGTTTGCAGCGGGGCCACGCGTGCGCTCTTCTGTGCATGCGCAGAAGCGTTTAGATGATGTCAGGGTCAGTGGGCGGAGCCTCCTGCCGGTTTTACTACCGGTTCTATAGAACCGATGCGAACCGGGGGCAACCCACCACTGGTGTGTTGTCTGCAGGTCTACCGTGCTCATATGAAGCTAACATCCCTTAACCCTTTTAGAGAAGTTTCCAGGCAGCAAAGAGTCTTCATTCTGCCCCCTCCTTTTCGTGCAGAATTACAAATCCCCTACCTGTTTTAGAAAAGCAAAGGAAAAAAAAGTGTGTGTGTGTGTATGTGTCACAGAACTGGTGTTTCTCTAATGGTCTTATTGGCAGGTTGCTTATCTCCTTTGGCAATCATACATTTAGATCCCTTTCCCAGGTATGTCATGTAGATTGGTTCCAGTAGCTGTGAGACAGGATGAGACAGACTCTTCCATGCACGGCTAAATATTGATGTTTTGGCAGTGACAAACACTGTTTAAAAGCGGGATTTCCTATAAAGCAAGAATTGGAGGAAGTTAACACTAATTTGCTCTGATAAGCACTTGGCAATGTCATTATATGATGGGCGTGGGAGGGAGAATGAATTCAATTGAGGCTCTGTGTTGCCTTATTGTATGAAAGAATCATAGGGCTTGAAGGGATCTTGGCAGGGGTGGATTGCTGGGGGTTCGCAGGGGTTCAGGAGAACCTCCAGCTAAGATTCTGTGCAGTTCAGAGAACCACCAAATCCCACTCCTGTTTGGCCCCTCCCCTCCCCTCCCAGGAGTCCCCACACGGCCCGTTTTGGATGCAGGTAAGTGCAGGGCACGCGCGGCGGCTCAGGTAGGGTGAAAAACAGGCCTACTGGAAGTTTGGGAAGGCCAGAAACGGGCCCGTTTCCAGCCTCCAGAGGACCTCTGGAGCCTGGGGAGGCCGTTTTCGCCCTCCCAGAAGCTCAAGGAAAACCTCCGGAGCCCAGGGAGGGCGAAAACGCCTCCCTGCCATGGTGTAGGAGGCTGACTAGGCTATGCCTACCATGGCCACGCCCACCCAGCAACCGGGCAGAGAACCCCTTGCTAAAATTTTTCATTCCCACCCCTGGATCTTGCAGGTCTTCTAGTCCAGCCCCCAGGAGTCCTTACATCATTCTGGGCAAATGGTTGTCCAATTTTTTTCTTGAAAAACTCCCATGATGGAACACCCTTATTATTAATGTTAAGAAGGTAATGTATCAGTCACTTATATTTCATTCCTTTTTTTTGTTCGTCAATCCACAGGAAAAGATGCTTGGAGATGTCTCTACAGCATGTTAAAATAGTTTCGTTTGTCTTTAATTTGTTTTATAACAGGGGTGTCAAACTGGATTTCTTTGAGGGCCGGATCAATATTGTATTATTATTATTATTATTATTATTATTATTATTATTATTATTATTATTTATTACATTTCTATACCGCCCTTCTTCCGAAGGACTCAGAGTGGTGTACAGCCATGATAAAATAATACCAACACAAAAATTAAAAACAATTTAAAATAATTTAAAGCATTGGCCGTATTTAAAACCCCTAGCTAAAACCCCTTTAAAACCATTAAAACCCACTTAAATTAATTCATTTGGTCAGGCCGGCTTGCTGAAACAATAAAATCTTCAGCGCACGACGGAAGATGCGAAGGTCAGGGATCCTCCTTATGTTCGGGGGCAGCTCATTCCATAGGACAGGAGCCCCCATATAGAAGGCTCTCCCCCTGGGGGTCGCTAGCTGACATTGTTTGGCCGACGGCACCCTGAGGAGGCCCTGTCTGTGGGAGCGTATCGGGCGGTGGGAGGCATGCGGTGTCAGAAGGCGGTCCTGTAAGTATCCTGGTCCTAAGCCATGGAGCGCTTTGAAGATGGTGACTAGCACCTTGAAACGCACCCGGAAGACCACTGGGAGCCAGTGCAGCTCGCACAAGAGAGGTGTTACATGGGAGCAACAGGTCGCCCCCATAACCACTGGCACGGCCGCGTTCTGGACCAGTTGGAGCCTCCGGGTGCTCCTCAAGGGGAGCCCCATGTAGAGAGCGTTACAGTAGTCCAGATGGAATTGTAGTTCTCCTCTGTGGGCCAGCATGGGGCAGAGCAGGGGGGGAGACGGGATGGATGCCTCCTGCATCACTTTACTGGCCAAAATGGGGCACAGGGAGGGGAGGCCCTGTGAGGCCCCCTTGTGGCCAGTGATGGGTTCCTCCTGGTTCGGCCCGGTTCGGCCGAGCCGGTAGTGGTGACGATATGACATCACCGAACCGGTTCTCCCCCCCCCGTTAAAAGCAAACAAATGAGTCGGGTCGTAAGTGCGAGGACTGGTTGTAAGTGCGAGGACCTTCCAGAAATGACTCTGACCAGCTAGCCATGCCCACCTGGTCACATGACCTCCAAGCCACACCCACAAAATAAGCCACGCCCACAGAACCGGTAGTAAAAACATTTAGAACCCACCCCTGCTTGTGGCCCATGTTTGGCCTCCCTGGCCTCCAGCAGCACTCTGCCAGTCAAAAACGGGCCACGCGGAGGCCTCTCTTTTACCATTGAAATTCTTCCTGTACAATTTCTATCACGGTATTTAAATTCAATCTTACAGTCTTAGACTTGTTCCCATCTGAATATATGATTTCATATGTAGATGAGTTCCATGGATGAAGGAAAAGGAAGGGAAGGGCTAAATTATCTGTAGTGAATCCAAAAACCAAAACTACTTTCAACTGCTTCCATGCATTAATAACTTAGTTTTTTTTTCCCCTTCTCAAATAATGCTTCAAATAAGTATCAAACATATTGCTCATTGGGCAGAATTTCAAAAACCTTTCTTATCTAAATCACATCTTGGAAAGGAAACCTCTGTTAACACAACCTAAAAACCTTCCAACGTTCTTGATGTAAAAGTTCCAATCCTTTCATGCACCTTCTACAAGGTTTTTATTGCCTGTCTGTTTTTTTACGGCTATTTGAGCGGTTGTCACGCATTAGTGCCTGGAATATAATTATTTATTTATGAGAGTGAGTGTCTTTACTCACGGTATAAAACAGCTGAACTCGATTTGGCACTTGTTGCAAAAGAGCACTTGTTACAAAAGAGCAATTTGGCACTTGTTGCAAAATAGCCAAATAGCAATTACAGTATAACTATATGAACAGTAGTCACGGAATATAGTTAATTATGAGAATGAGTGTCTTTACTCACAGTACAAAGAGGGGAATCCTACTCTAAAATATTGAGGTATTGAGTTGATCCGGCTCCTTTGGAGGAGGGGGGGGTCACTTAACCAAAAAAGGTTGGTGAAATACCCAACCATAGCAAAATGTATTTTCTCCTTAAGGGAAAATTTAAAGAGCCTGTAGTACAGTGGACTAAGCACTGTTATTAAGAACTGCTGCTTGCAATTACTGCAAGTTCGAATCTCACCAGGCTCAAGGTTAACTCAGCCTTCCATCCTTTCTAAGGTAGGTGAAATGAGGACCCAGATTGTGGGGGCAATAAGCTGACTTTGTATAAAAAAGAACACTGCTTAGGGGGGGCCGAAAGCCCTACTAAATATATAATTTATATTTGTATAAATATACAAAAGTATGAAGGCTATTGCTTAACGCATTGTAAGCCGCCCTGAGTCTCCGGAGAAGGGCGGCATATAAATTTAAGCAAAAAACAACAACAAAAAACTGCTGCTTTAGCATTGGAACAATGTAGAGCCATTTTCAGCTGCTTTGGTATGGGCTGGGGACATCTTGAAGACCATGTTTCAGACACGGTAGAAAATAGAGGATACTAGGACATCTTCGTGCCATCATTGAGTAACAAAAAGCCCTAATACTGACTCTGTGCCTGTGTGTGTATACGTGTGTGTGTGCTCATATGTGTGTGCGTGCACATACGTGTGTGCGTGCACATGTGCAGAATTTGGCCTCCCTCCTAATTGCAGAAATGACTGGATTTGAGATAATGCTGGAGCTATATTGAGCCAAGTAAATTATTGAATTTACTACTATGTATCTCAAGGCTCAAAAATGATTGAATAATTGGTGATAGTGGTAAGATCACTGTTTGTTCCACACAGTTGATGGTCACCATGTCTCTTTTCCAGGTCCTGCTTGCCCTAACTACAGAACAAGAGAGATCCGAAAGTTATTAAACATGTATTGAGTAAGATTGTTATAGTTTTCTCTTCCCATTTAATGGTCTAGGCCTGTGATGGCGAACCTATGGCATATCTGTGGGCATGTGAGCATTGCCCTACCTCAGCTCCAGTGTGCATGCGCGTGCTGGCCAGCTGATTTTCGGGCCTTCCGTGCCCACTGGAAATCAGGAAACGGGCTGTTTCCGGCCTCCGGAGGGCCTCCAGAGTGGGTGGGGAAGGCCGTTTTAACCCTCCCCAGGCTCCAAGAAAGCCTCTGGAGCCTGGGAAGGGTGAAAAACGGGCCTACTGGGCCCACCGTGCCATCGCATGCCAAAAGCCGGGGGAGCGCAGAGGGTCGCTCACGAATGCGTGGGGCGGGGCGCATTGAATTATGGGTGTGGGCACATACATGTGTGACACCCCCCCGCGCAATCCCCGCTTTTGGCATGCGGCAGCAAAAAGATTAGCCATCACTGATCTAGGCCCATGATGGCGAACCTATGGCATGCGTGCCAGAGATGGCACACAGAGCCCTCTCTGTGGGCACGCGCACCATCGCCAGCTGGTCTTTGCGGGCGCCAGAGTGCCAGAAAACAGCCTGAAAACGGCCTGGAAAAATGGCCTGAAAACAGGCATGTGCGGTCTTCGGGTTTCCGGCATTCCGGTGTGTGTACATGCACTTGCGTTCCAGTTTGGGCACTCGGTGCCAAAAACGTTCACCATCACTGGTCTAAGTTACATGACATGTCCTTCTTCAATGTCACCACTTCTCACAGTTTAGATAGGGAAATGCAGATAATTAATTGCTTGGCTTTCTTTCCTTCTTCAATGGAAAGTTACAGATTCTAACCCAATTGAATGATTACAACAGGAGAAACCCAAGGAGAAGCATAATTGCTTATCTATACTTGATCTACACAGTTGCCTTATATTGCATCAAGCAATAAGTTGGTTTATCAAAATTTGGTGCATTCTGAATGCAGCTGGTTCTTTAGCATGTGCTTCCTACTCAAGAACCTTTAAGTGGAAATACTGGGTATTAAAACTGGGGTCTTGTGAATGCCAAATGTTGCCCTAAGGCTGAGTTATAGCCCTCCCAGAAATTTAGAATATGGCTTGGTCCATACTAAGCATTGCTTCTCAGGGATGAATACAAATATACAACAGAGACCCCACGTGCAGACATTCCTGAATAATCCTTTGTTTCCTTTGGAAAATTGATAAGAAAGATCCCATGTGTTTAGAAAAAAAAGGAAAGCTTGATTGTAACTGTACATGCAAGTATATATGTAATTATACCAGGGGTGAAATCTAAAATTTGTTACTATCGGTTCTGTGGGCATGGCTTGGTGGTGGTGGTGGTGGTGGGGGTAATGTGACTGGGTGGGCATGGCCAACTTTTTTTTTTAAACTTTTAAAAGCATTTTTTCTACAACCTTAAGAGGTTGCAGAAAAAAATGCTTTTAGAAGCCTCTGATGATCAGGCTGGGATCGCCAGAGGCTTTTAAAGGCATTTTTTTTCCTACAACCTCTTCAGTTGTAGAAAAAATGCTTTTAAAAGTAAAAAAAAAAAGCCTCTGATGATCGCGCGGCTCAGCTGGGCATGGGTGGGGGCGCAGGGTTTTTTGCTACTGGTTCTCCGAACCACCCGCCGCCATTGCTACCGGATCGGGCAATCCGGTCCGAACCTGGAGCATTTCACCCCTGAATTATACCAATTATACTTGAGGGTCAAAATGCACCTTTGATCCAGCTTTATTTTTTTTGTAGCTTTTTGTAATCTAGCTGTAGGAGTTGAGAGTTGGAAGCCCATACATTGGGAGGGGAACATGTTGGGAAAACTGCCCTAGTACTGCTCTTCAACATCCTACAGAATTTATCTATTTAATTTATATCCTACCTTTATTAATTTTACAAATAACTCAAGGCAGCAAACAACTCCAACACACCTTCCTCCCCCTATTTTTCCCACTATGTGAGGTGAGTGGGACTGAGAGAGAGGGACTGGCCCAGGGGTGAGTTCTACTTACCTTTACTACCGGTTCACAACAGGACCGCGCATGCACAGAAACTTCTTGATGATGTCCATGTCGGTGGGTGGAGCCTCCCGCCGGTTTTACTACTGGTTCTTGTGAACCGGTCCAAACCGGGGGCAACCTATCACTGGATTGGCCTGAGTTCACCTAGCTAAGGAGGGACTAGAACTCACATTCTCCTGGTTTCTAGCCTGGTGCCTGAACTACTAGAAACCTGTCTTGTGTACTTCCCTATGTTCTTAGCTCAATTACCCTATTGACAGTAGAGGTTCCTCAACGTACCCTATTGGCATTGGATCACAAGGTTATTCTGTATTTGTCTCTTTTCTATAATTTATTGCGTAGGGATTCCTACCTGTGCAATAGGAACCTGTGCCATTCTTGAAACAGCAGGTTATACAGTAAATGGAGATGTTCCTCTGTTTTCCAAACAAACTTTTTATGTTGGTTGGCTAGTTGGCTGGTTGGCTGGTTGGTTGGCTGGCTGGTTGGTTGGTTGGTTGGTTGGCTTTCCAGAAATGGATCCACATTCTTTTTAAGCCTGGATTGGCAGCCCAGGATTGTGTTCTTTGTTCTTTGCTTCTTCTGTGCTTACAGCATAGGCATATGGGTGAGGTCTGGATCTATTGCATGTTTACTCCCTTTAGAATTTCAGCTGTTTGAACAGAGCTGGAGGCAGTGGGAAAATACATTTGCCTAAGCATTCTCCTTAATTTATCTCACATGGGCATGAACTTGTGGGCAGCCCGGATGACTCTGGAGCTTTTCCTCTGAACGTATTTAGAGTGGGGGAATCTGGGTGCATGGTGAAATGTCCATGAGGAGTTCCTGTGTGCCTTCTGCGTTCTGCTTGGAGCATTATCAGCCACTGAAAATAGAGTCAGGCGAAAGTGTTCTTTGGTGCTAGCTAGTCCCTCCCTAACGCAGACCTTTCACCCCTCCCTTAATTGCAGCTGGAAGGGGGAGGAGGGATGAACCGTGATCTCTTTTACAAAGCGGTGCAAAAGGAATTGCTTGAATTGAAAGAGAGGAGGAGCTCACTGCTTTCTCTTTGTTGTACAAAGCCGGTCTCTTGGATGCCTCAGTTCAGGCCCCAGAAAGCTGTACGCAAGTCGCATTCCATACTTTAGCTCCAGATGTGCTGTGAACACATTTTATTTTCCTGCTGCTTCCGTTGCCTCTTACATTCATTGAAGGTAAGTCCAAAATGGGCATCTAGGGTTTTCTGCCTCCGCCCCTCCTTTCCTTTGTGATAGATGAGTTTTGTTTTGTTTGTTTACTTGTTTGGGTTCTAACTTCTCAGTCGTTTGCATGAGTAAAGAAAGAAATGAAAGAACAGAATGAAATGGTCCTTGTTAGCAGCAACATTTGTGGGTTTCCTTACAGTTGTTCTTAGCTGATAATAAGTCAGTTCCTAGCTCGTGTGATTGAAACTCAATGCTTTTTTTCCCCCCCAAATACCAACTATTCTAAGTAGGATAGGAATGTTCCTAATAGATTCACACAGGAAAGTACCCAAATGTACTCAGGTTTTGCAATGGCCAGACTCAGAAAGACGTAACTGTAAAAGGAAGAACCTGTCATATAACTGAAAATTACAGTAATGTATAAAACAGAGAGATTGGAATAAAACGGAGCAAGAGCTAGAACTAGGAATCACCGGAAGTCAGGCAGCCAGTAAATTTAATAAATGATGATGAATCTAACCAACACTTAATCTTACTGAACAGTAACTGTAGCTGATCTTACTGAATAGTAACCCTGATTGATTTTTTTTAAAAAAATGCACTAAATATTAAAAAGCCAAGCTGAGTTTTTCTTTTTAAAGGACTAATTCTGATGCCTTTAAAATCTGGAAGAAATGCAACAACTTCTTCAGGACCTGATTAAAACTTAACCTGTCCTCCCATTTATTACTATTTTTAAAACTAACTAGAATAATAATAAAAAAGACATGGGACTATCTTCCCACAATATTTTAAAAAGCCTAAACTGTCTTCCCATTTATAATTTTTTTTAAAACTAAGTAGAATAAAAACATGGGACTATCTTCCCACATTATTTTGAAAAGCCTCCCACTTCTGCCACTGTAGTAAGCTAGGCATATTATGGAATGTGAATCCAATATTAAAGTGTAACATTTTAACTAGTTATCACAAGGGTCAGTTTAACAGTGCTTCCCCCACCTCCCTTTCCTTCCCTGTGTCAATAATTCGGATCTATTTAGGCTGATTTATTAACAAGATCATCTATGTTCACTGTCCTTGCGAAAAGATTTTTATAGACGTATAGCGTAAAAACTATACCTAACATCCCCTGCATTAGCTTTATACTGAGTATTAAAGAACATCAGACTCATAGCTCTCCCCATCTGGAAAGGTATAGAAATCACTTTTAATCAATCCATTTAAAATAAATTCAGGGCGTTTTTTAAAAATCTGCCCGCGCCCATTTTATTTTTAAGGGAAGACATGAAATGTCTCCAAAATCTCACAGCGCCTTTAAAATTTTAGACATACCCTGGGCTGTTCAGACTTACAATTTAGGCTCCTATAATAGCATCAGCCATTTCCAGGAAGACAGTTTTTATCCATCCCTGGCATCGAAGAGACACAAAAGAAGTCTTAATAGCACTTTAAAGACTCAGGCAGGCTTTGCAGCAGAAGCTTTCAGGGAGCTATGTCTGATTCAAGGGATTGTCCTCGGTGTGGGTTATGCCAGGCAGAAATCATTTATTTGCTTAAAACCAAAGGTCGTTACGGAGCAGGTAACACCATCCACGCAAGCTACCTAGATGAATTCCAAAAAGTAAGTATATGATTCTCTCTAATGTGCAGTGCAGCTCTTTGTGTGTGTGTGTTGTGTGTTTTTGGCTTTTCCCATGTGTGCATCTGGGGCTCCGAGATTGACTCCTTATGTTAAGAAATCAAAGCCTTTTGTTGGCGGCATCCTGTCTGTACAATTCTATGCTCGGAAGGGCTAATGGGGGCTTGAGTACAAAGGCGAAACCTTTCCATACAGAAAAACAGCTGTTTTAGAAAACAGTTTTATGAATCAATTTGGAAATAAGTATCGTTTGATGCACAACGGATCTGTACCGGTTGCTGGGAGCGCTCTCATAATTTGCTTTTGCTTTAATTTCTCATCTTGGTATTAATGTTTCATTCGTTCTGTTTTACTTCGCTGTCTACATTTTGAGAATAAAGGATCATTCAGTTTTTAGAGCCAAAAAGGAAACCTGAGCATGTTTATCCATGCACAATTCTTATATTTCTTTGCCTTTTGATTTTGTCACTTCTCTTTTCTTCGCTACTTTTATTCTACCTCTTCCTAATCGTCCAATATTTCCTTTTGGTACATGGCATGATTGTCATGCGTTAATTTAATAATTTAAGTTTTCCAACAAGGTGTTTTTCAGATGAATCTTTTGTCCTAGGAGTTCTGGATGTTCTCAGCATACCTTGAAGGAACCAAGCCAGGGAAAATTCTACTTTGCAATAAGAAACTTTAGAAATCAATACAAAGACTCTCTCTCTCTCTCTGTGTATTCCTTCTACACACGTACATGTCATTTTTTTAAAAACAAAAATTCTTTATCTTCCCTTTTCTTTTCTTTTTTGTGATTGTTCACCCCCACCCTTATTAGCTTTGTGTGGTTAAATAAGTAAAAGTTAAAGAGCCACCCAGAGTTGGTTATAAAATAGGCAGCCATAGGAACGTTTTAAATAAATAACTAAAACAATGAGGGACTTTAGAAATGAAAATTCTGGGGAAAATGGAATGATCTTCGCTCCTTAAGTATTGTTCTTTACATCATATCAGCTCAGAAATAAGTATAGATGACTTTCCTTACGATTCTGCTACTAATACTTGAAAGAACCATGTTTTTAGACTTTCTTTGTTTTTCCTTGAAGAGGTTTCGCTTCTCATCCCAGAAGCTTCTTCAAGTTCTGACTTCAAGGCAAAACAAAGTCCAAGTTGCCTTTGAAAAAGCACCTTTGGGACAACCGTGACCTGGATTATTGATAATCTCCATAGACATTCAGTGTAACGTTAGTGAATCATTTATTAAATGCTTTCTTCTCAATATCCCCACTTTCTTGCCAATACAAGAAAGAGGCAGAGAAAGAGACTTCCCCGAATATCTCAAAATTTTCATCCCAAGTTTTCAGATCAATGTCATTCTTTACTCTTTTGCATCTCTCTTTATTTTGCTTCCTGTCTTCAGTTCACTTAGCCTAAGATGTATCTTTTTTTTTTTAATCTTTCACTTGCCTTTTCCTGTCTTCCTACGTTATTTAATGCCTGCAGGGCATCCTAGGTTCCAAAGACCCCCATCTCTGCCTGCTTCTAAATTTATACAGCAAGTTAGGACTTCCGTTTTTGTTTTTGCTGGCAACGGGAGAAGAGTAAATATCAAGAGGACTTTAAGCCATTGGTATGTCAGCCAGGAAGTCGAAAGTCTCAATCACAAGTCTCCTTTTCTTGACCAGCCATCTGCCATGTGCTGAGACACCCAGAGCAGAGTCTCTGTTGATTGCAGTATGTCAAGCCATAAGTAGAAATGTATGGCAAAAGGTGTTTTTCAGATGCTGCGGTCACAATCAGATTCACATAGCTAACATCTATGTTGTTGCTTAGTGCCAAGAAACATTAACTCTTGCTGAATCGTAGTAGCATTGTCTCTGGCAGTGAAAAAGGACAAAAAATTTAAAGCCACAATGTAAAAAATAGTTTTCCCCCTTCCTTCCTTCCTTCCTTCCTTCCTTCCTTCCTTCCTTCCTTCCTTCCTTCCTTCTTCCTTCCTTCGTTCCTTCCTTCATTCCTTCCTTCTGTGAAGTTTCCAAAAGCTATGAAAGCTTTGCAAGTTGACACCTTCCTTCCTTCCTTCCTTCCTTCCTTCCTTCCTTCCTTCCTTCCTTCCTTCCTTCCTTCCTTCTTTCCTTCCCACTATATTTCTAACTCTCTATCTATACATGCACCCAGATAGCATGTATTTAATTTTTTTTTTTAAAAAATGACATATATTATGTGGTGATTAAAATAAACATAATAGAAAGAAAAAATAATTAAAACCCATATGAACCCATTTAGTATTGATATGGGCTTAAAAGAAACTGAACATTACAGAAGGAAAAAAATAATTACAATCCATATAAAATCCATTTAGAGTTGATATGGGATTAATTAAATCTTTAAGCTTGTTAAACCTAGACCTTTGGAAATGGATTGCTTCATCTTCTCATTTTTAGAATCTAAAAACTTTTCAAAAATCAATAACTAAGTCCAGGAGTCTTTGGAGATATCTTTAAAAAGCAAAGTTTTAGTATATAATGATAACTTTTTTTCATAAAGTTTTGATTCATTATTATTTTTATATTCTATTTATCCTGCTCTGGGTCAATCAATGAATGTGGAGAATGCATATGGGTATATTCTTAGTACGTGAGAGATATTAGGATTCAGGCTCCTGATATCCTACGGAGCATTGCCTGAAATAATTTTTACATCATAAAAAGCAGAAATCTACAATGGATTTGTAGCATTGGATTGTTCTTAATTGCATGTTGTTAACATTTGAACTAGTCTTTATTTTAAAAAAAGGAGTAAAATTTTTTAAGCAATATGGCCAATATTTTAAAAATGGTTCAGTTTATAACATAATTTTTCAGGGCATATTAATTTTCACCTGGTGTGTTGATTGCTTAATACCATTTATTCATTTATACATTTTTTTTATTTGCACGATAAAAGAAAACATTAAATGAAAGACAGTGTGCGTCTGAAAAATAACACATGTCTGTGTTTCCTAGGAGTAAATATAATCCAGAAAGATGTCTCAGAGCCCAGAAGTTGTTGTCCCGATGGCAGATTGCAATACAAATGGTATCCAGAATCAGTCTTGGAGCTCAACAAAATCCAGTACCGTCACCTTTCGTAACATCTGCTACAGAGTGAAGACGAAAAGTGGATTTATAGGCTGTCGAAAAATAGTTGAAAAAGAAATTTTGAAAGATATCAAGTACGTACATTTTAGTAAATCCGCTTGCGTGCTCAGCTTGTTTCCTTTGTAGTTATCCTTAGCATTTGCATAGGATTTTTAACATGGCTCAGCTGCAATATTTTGGAAATTTTTAGGACCAGATGGTGGCACTTGGATAATATCCCTGGGATTTGGAGTTTGTCTATTTGTTGAGGTTGTGCTCCAATGAAGCATCAGGTGTATAATTTGAACTCTCTTTTTTTGGTGTGTGTGTGTGTGTGTGTGTGTGTGCGCGTGCGCGTGCCTTTAAGACTCCTGGCCTGGCCTAAATTAGTTTTCTTGGAAAGATTTCAGAAGTAGTTTGCCATTGTCTCCATCCTTGGGCTGAGAAAGACTGACCGGCCTAAGATCACGCCCAACGTGGGACTAGAACTCATGGTCTCATGATGTCTAATTTCATTCTTAACCACTACATTATTGGGCTTGCATTGATAGATTCATTTAGGCCCCAGTGGCTTCCATAGTAAGGAGTGCTTTTTTCAGCTTCAGCTTATCTACTAGTTGAGTCTATTCCTGGACAGTCAATATTTGAACTCTTATCTGTGATATATATATATATTTACATCATCAGAAAGTTCCAATCAAGAAGGGTTCACACTCATGAGAAAGAATACAGTATGTCTTTTTCCCCTCAGTATGACTGTGACAAGCTCATCTGATGTTCTAGGACAGGAGTGTCAAACTCAAGGCCTGTAGGCTAGATCCAGCCTGTGGGGGCTTAGATCTAGCCCACGGGGCTGCCCTGGAAACAGCAAAGGACCGGCCCACGGTGCCTCTGCCAGCGAAAACAGAGCCTGGGAGGACCGCGCATGGGTGCAGCTGACAACGCCCACCCTGGCCACGCCCATCCTGGCCATGCGCACTCGGCCCACCTGAGGTCAAATACAACCCTGATGCGTCCCTCAATGAAATCAAGTTTGACACCCCAGTTCTAGGATATATCTAATCAAATGTTTATTGACTAATCATTCTATTAAAGATAATTAATATGATGGCAATTGGTAAATTTCAGTGGATTGAGTCTAGTGGAAGCTGTGCAGCAGTGAAAAAAGTGCTATCTTTTTTGAGGTGTACTATAGTCTTTTAGGCTGTATCTCATACTTATTTTTTTTAAAAAAATTACGAATGAAAGAAATAGATGTGTCCAAGATAATGTTGTAGGATCAATCCAGTGGTGGTATTCATCCGGTTCTATCTGGTTCGGGAGAACTGGTAGCGGCGGCTGCGGGAGGCTCCGCCTACCCGGCCGGACGTAATCACGTCCCACTTATCCACATTTTTTATGCTCTGTGCATGCGCGGAAGGCCCTGCGTATGCACGCGTGCGTTCACATTTGCGAACCAGTAATGAAGGTAAGTGAATACTACCCCTGGATTGATCCAATCTGGTCACTGGGACCAGAAGTTTAATTTTTTGAACTTTCAGACTCATGCTGGAGCTCATCTTCAGGGAAGTTCTTTCTCACCAGAATGTCCAGTAGAGAGAATGGGCTCCAGCACGGGTCCGAAAGCTCAGAAGACTAAACCTCTAGTCCCGCTTACCGACTCAGATTGGATCCTAAAACAATCTTATCCTCAGAATCAGCTAGAAGAAAACAGAATATGAGATGAATCTACAAAATCCTGTGGGCATGAAGTGTAACCACCAGATAACACAGGAAAAGACATGAGAAATAAGGCATTGTCTAAATCTAACACAGGGATCAGCAACCTGCAGTTCCGGAGCCACATGCGACTCTTTGAGCCCTCTGCTGTGGCTCCCTGTCGGGTGATCCCACCACTGGCTGACCCCACCCCTCGCCCTCCCCTCCCAGTCACTCCTTGCCTGGCCTGAGAAGGTAAGGGTGACGGGAGGGGATGGAGAAGTGGCCAGGGCAGAGACAGAGAGATACAGAGAGAGGGAGAGAGAGGGGGGGAAGGGAGGGAGGGAGGGGAGAGAGAGATATGTCAAAGGGTTTTGTGGTTCCTGGTGTTTTTTAACAACTGGTTCTCTGCCCTAATGACCGGCTGGGTAGGCGTGGCTAGAGAGTCATGTGACTGGTGGAAGTGAGTGACATTGAGTTGGTCACACCCAGCCATATTTTGTGGCTCCTGGTGTTTTGTTTTCTGTGGGAAACGGGTCCAAATGGCTCTTTGAGTGCTTAAGGTTGCAGATCCCTGATCTAACAGTTGGCTGACTTTCCAACAGTTTGGAAAGTATTAAGTAAACACGAAGTATAGTAACCCAGGTTCAAACACCAGGCTCCATTGTCTGCTGTCCTTGGGTGTTTTTTTGTTTGGATCTCCCTTTATTTTTTTTATTTTTTTTTAATTTAAAAAGTTTTTTATTTTAAAGACATTAAAAACAAAACATAGACATACAACATTTATAGAAAAAGAAAAAAAAAAAGAAAAAAAAAAGAAAAAAAAAGAAAAAAAAGAGAAAATATCACTTTTCTTTTCGGCTCACCATCCGAAGAGGATTTAATTAAGAAAATTCTGGAATGCGCAGAATTAGATAAACTAACTAAAGAAATTAAGGGAAAAGAAGAATCAAAGTATTATAAGATATAGAGTAGATGGCATGAATGGTTGAAAAATAAGGAATTAAGTTAAATGAGTGAAGAAAGGAGGGGGAAAATGTGGCCGATCAATTTATAGGATAGAGGGAATGAAAGAAAGTAGAAAATGAATGTTAAATAAGTTAGTACTAAAATATCTGTAAATATTGATATACAGAAAGAAAGGATCACTGGATGTCCCTTTAAATGTTAACTTTCCATCATCGTTTTGACCTGTGTAGACTCAGAAGTTCATTACGATACAGGATCAATGTGTGATGCTATAAATAATTAACTGAATTATATTACTCTCTGTGTGAAAAGTAAAAGGTTACTCCCTGCAGAATATCCAACAAAATAGGCAGCTAGAAGCAATGGTTCATGAAGGCAGAAGTAATCAAACTTAATGACACCATAAAAAGTCAGTGTAAACTCAGAGTATATCTGAGGTCATGGTTATATTTTGAAATCAAGATTATTATTTTTCACACAAAAACTCCTGACAATGCATTCAAGTCTCTGCATATTTGAATTAATAGATTTCAATTTATTACTACAGGTAGTCCTTGACTTATGACCACAATGGAACCCAAAATTTATATTGCTAAGTGAGAAATTCGTTAAGTGAGTTTCGCCCCATGAACTTTCTTGCCCCGCTTGTTAAGGGAATCATCATGGTTGTTAAGTCAGTAACCCGGTTGTTAAGTAAATCAGGCTTCCCCATTGACTTTGCTTGCCAGACGGTCACAAAAGGGGATCACATGACCCTGGGACACTGCAACCGTCATAAGTATGAACCAGTTGTCCAGAATATAAGTCACATGACCATGGAGATGCGGCAATGGTCGTAAGTATGAAAAATGATCATAAGTCGCTTATTTCAGTGCCCTTGTAACTTTAAACGGTCACTAAATGAACTGTTGTAAGTTAAGGACTATCTTTAGCTAGATGTTCATGGAGATTCTCAGTCATGCAGGTCATGGTTGTCCCAGAGGTGCTTTTTCAAAAGGGAATTGGACTTTCTTTGTTTTTCCTTGAAGGTGTTGTGCTTCCCATCCAAGAAGCTTCTTCAGTTCTTCAGTATCTAGAAGTACTTTCAATTCATTTACTCATCCAGTTTTTAAACTGTGTTTGAAAAGATGCAGAAAAGCAACAATGAGAAGGATGTAGACAATTTATACAAGAAGAGGCAGAAGCAGTTGGATTTCCTATTTTAGGTTAGCAAGAAAAAAAGCAACTAAGGCAGAGAATACCTTGGATATTAAAAAAAAACACATAGTTTGTACGGAAAGTGTGGGCAAGATTTTCTCTTCGCATAATAAAAAATATAGTCTTGAAATTAAGTGAGTCAGTAAGGAAGTGTTCTGCCCTAGCTACGGACGCCAAAGAACACAGCACACACAAAGTCCGTTCAAACCTTAGTTTACTGAATAAACCAGTCTTTTACAACAATGGCTGTTAATTAATTGCATTAACAGCCACCAAGAATTCAAAGAATAATAACTGAAAGCTTACTATGGTTGGCAGAATGCCCAGAAGCAATTTGCAGGAAGCTGATAAGATAAGCAAGACAAGACACAAAGGTATGTGAACTAAGTTGTTCCCTGCAAATTGCTTCAGTCAGTGTTCCTCCTTAAATAGGCTAAGGGAGTGGCCAATTAGCCCCAAGCCTTACTCTCAAGAAGACCTCCTCCTGAGGAGCCACTCCTGCCTTTTGGCAGCTCTGCATGCCCATGAAGAGCTCCTCCTCTTCGTCCTCTTCACTTAAGGGAGCTTCTGGAGGTTCTGAAGGCCCTGGCTGAATCCCCGCCTCTGGCACCACATCTTCTCCAGCCTCCTCATTGTCTGACTTGAGTGCCAGCTGCACAGGCTGCTGATGCAGCACCACACCAGCCTCCTCGCTGTCTGAATCATCTACTAGCTGCACAGGCTGCATACGGGCCACAACAGGAAGTATTTGCCACAAGAACTATTAGTGGCCACACTGCCTCTTCTTTGTGGGTGGTTCATGTGTATTTAAGTTCATAGTTATGCCTGGCAACATCTGGACAAATCCATGCAGGATTTTTGACCAACATTTTTTTCGGTAAAATAGTCTTCCACTACCAATAGTCCTCAACTTACAACGGTTCATTTAGTGACTGTTCTAAGTTGCAATAGCACTGAAAAAAGTGACTTTGTTAAGGTAATGATGATTTTATAGCTGACCAGCTGCTGTAAGGCTGTAAACCGTAAACCGTTAACTGTAAATAACTGAGGATGAGTCAGCAGGGTTATTGCCCCTTTAAGAAGCTGTCCATATAAGGGAGGCCATTAGAGGGCGTCTCTCTCTCTCTCGCTCCTTGTGTATCTCCTCGCTGTGTTCTATCTGCATTGTAGTTCTCCATTTAGAGTTGAAGATTGATTGCTTGCCTGGTATGTGCGTACCATGTGTATGTTTGTATATAGAAGTCTTACTGTTTGTAAGACAAACCTCTGTGTCCTGAATTTTGCTCCTGGGTTGTCTCAAAATAGTAGTCACACTGTACACATTCTGACAGACTTACGACTGCTTTTCACACTTTTGACCTTTGCAGCACCCCTGTGGTTCACAGTGACCACAATTCAGACGCTTGGCAAGTGACTCATATTTATGGCGGTTGCAGTTTTCCAGGGTGCTGTTGTAACTTTTGAATGGTTACTAAACAAATGTTAGTAATTTAAGGACTACCTGTAATGCGCAGAGTATTTCTTCTGCACTGGGGATTCTTGTGACCTTTTTCCCCCCCTAAATTCTTTTTCAAGAAATTCAGCAGTGGCAGAAAAGCTTCCTTGAATTACAGTTTGTCTTTAGCGTGCAGCTGTTGCAGTGGTGGGTTGCCCCTGGTTCAGACCGGTTCGCAAGAACCGGTAGTAAAACTGGCAGAGGACCCGCCCACTGCCCCAGATGTTGTCAATGGTGATCTGTGCATGCGCAGAAGCTTCTGCGCATGTGCAGAAGCAAGGCGCACACGCGATTCCATTCCGAACCGGTAGTAAAGGTAAGTAGAACCCACCCCTGAGCTGTTGGGGTATTCCATACCATCAGAGACACATTTCTGACCTAAGATATTTGTTTCTACTGGCTTAGAAAGTGACACTGTTTTTTTGTAAAAATAATTTTTATTAAACAGGTTTTTTTTTGGGAAAACAAAAAAGAATCTTTTACAATTTTCTTCTTTTCAACAATATCGCATCGGTAAACATTTTCTTACCTATCCATTTTTTCTCTCTTATTTCAATTTATCCTTTACACATATAATTCTGATATTGATTTATTTACATATATATATATAGATAACATTGTACACAATTTCGTACCTACGATCTGCATCTGTTCTGTTTCCTCTTGTTTGTTACTGCATTTCTGCTCCTATATCTTCTTCATTTACTCTTTCCTTGCCTTTTATCCCTCTCCTCTAACCATTCATACCATTTCTCCCTCACTATATAATATTCTGTTTCCTCTTTTTCGTGTATTTCGTGTATTTGTAAGTTTGTCCATTTCTGCACACTCCAAAACTTTTCTAATCAGATTATCTTCCGTTGTGCGTATATTGTTCTTGCTGCTGTTATAATATGTATAATTAAATATTTTATTTTTTTTCCCGTAAGTCCCTGGGAGTATTCCTAATAAAAATATTTCTGGCTTCATCTCTATATGCTGTGTGGTTATCTCTTCTAATTGTATTCTAATTTTACTCCAATGTTGTTTTGCTTTGGGGCACGTCCACCACATGTGGTAGTATGTTCCCTGATGTTGTTTACATTTCCAGCACGTTGATGAGGTGTTGGGGAACATTTTAGCCAGCCTTGCTGGTGGAAGATGCCACCTATAGAACATTTTGTTCATATTGTCTTTATAGGTTACAGAAAGTGATACTGTTTTGTTGGTATATTTTTCAGTGGAATAATGACACCAGGACTGAATGCAATTCTGGGACCAACAGGCAGTGGCAAATCTTCGTAAGTTTTACAGGACAAATGTGGTTTTTTTATATGTGTGCTTGTGTCAGAAGCTGTGGGACTTCTAGATTGAAAAGATTAGCTGGTGAGAACATCATTGCCCAGGGGACGCTCAGTTGGGAGGCTCCTTTCATGTCCCCAGCAGCAGCTGGAGCAGTGATGGTGAATCAGTCATGTGGAAATGTCACACACGTGCGCTTGTCAGGGCCACGCTCCAGAAAAGCTGAACTTCCGGGTTCTAGTGTGCATGCCTGCCCAACAATCAGCTGGCTGGCGTTCAGTCGCAGGCCAGTTTTCGGCACTGCCACGTGCCTGAAGGGATCACTCTCCAGAAAAGCCGAATTTCCAGGTTCTGGCATGCATGCGTACCTGACAATTAGCTGGCCAGTGCGCATGCGCACATCAGTTTACGGCACTGCTGCATGCATGAATGACAACTGATCGTCGCACATGCATGCACGCCAGAAACCTGGAAGACAAACAGGCAAGGCTGCATGTGCCGGGCGACATGGCTTCGCCTGCCATTTTAGGCACACGTGCCATAGGTTTGCCATCACGGAGCTGGAGCAAAGGATGGGTGCTTACACCTTTCCCCCCCCCAAGGCAGCACTCGGGCCTCGAGCACGTGCTTGCTAACCTCCAACCCAGCCTCCTAACCACAAGAGCTACCATCTTACACGTGGTTTTCTGTAATCCTTTGCTAACAAAGTAACAGAAATTACTTTGATGCCAATCATAATTTGATAGTTTGATGATGTCCTACTTCCTTTGAAATATTAATTACCTCCAATCTTGCAACATGAGATCAGATCATAACCGTGGTGAGGATGGTGTAATCCTGGCTGAGGAATTCTGGGAGTTGAAATCTTAAAGTTGCCAAGGTTGAGAAACACTGGTTTACATGCTTTAATAGCAACTGCTGCAAAATTAGGCTGGGAGAGATGAGCCAGATGGGTTTTGATGATCTCTGCCAAACTCTCTGTCTCTCTATCTAACCTTTCTATTGCATTTCATTGAGGGTTTCCCCATAGTTGCAGATTTTATATATATATAACCAAAACCATACAAATGTTTAATTGCAGTTGTGTACTTTTTCGTTTAGCAAAATGTGGCAATCACCATGCAATCCTGATTTCTCTTTTAGATTACTGGATATTTTAGCAGCACGGAAAGATCCCCGTGGCTTAACTGGAGATGTTTTCATCAACGGTGCCCCCCAGCCTGCCAATTTTAAATGCATCTCTGGCTATGTAGTACAGGTAAATTGATTATCCCTTTACCCCTCCACCCCACCTTATTGTTCATCAAATACAGTGAAAAATCAAAATGGTTACATGTACACTTCTTTTATGCAAAAAAAAAAATCTAGATATGTATAAAGTAGACTATGCTTTCTCTTCTTCTTTTGGTACTACAAGAATCTGGGGGCAAAAATTGCATGTGTTCCTTGAAATCTGATAGAGGATCAGGTTTTCAGCTGCTGATGCTGTTGAATGCTAAATTGGTCAATAAGAAATCTCCTCTCATTTGTGACCCAGGGGTGGGTTGCTGGGGGTTCGCAGGGGTTCAGGAGAACCTCTAGTTAAGATTCTGTGCAGTTTGGAGAACCCCCAAATCCCACTCCTGGCTGGCCCCACCCACCCTGCCCTGCCCATCTCAGGAGTCCCCACACGGCCTGTTTTGGATGCAGATAAGTGCAAGGCACATGCGGAGGCTTGAGGAGGGTGAAAAATGGGCCTACCGGAAGTTCCGGAAGGCTGGAAACGGGCCTGTTTCTGGCCTCCAGATGGTTTCCGGAGCCTGGGGAGGCCATTTTTGCCCTCCCGGAAGCTCGAGGAAAGCCTCCGGAACTCCGGGGAGGGCAAAAACACCCCCCTGCCATGGTGCAGGAGGCTGACTAGGCCATGCCCACCATGGCCATGTCCACCCAGCAACCGAGCAGAGAACCCCTTGCTAAAATTTTTGAAACCCACCTCTGTTGTGACCTTATTATAGAGGGGCATGCCAACTTTTTTTTTTTTTTTAAATTTGATTTATATGCCGCCCTTCTCCGGAGACTCAGGGCGGCTTACAATGTGCTAAGCAATAGCCTTCATTCTTTTGTATATTTATACAAAGTCAGCTTATTGCCCCCACAACTGGGTCCTCAATTTACCTACCTTAGAAAGGATAGAAGGCTCAGTCAACCTTGAGCCTTGGCGAGATTCGAACCTGCAGTAATTGCAGGCATCTGGTCTTAATAACCAGCTTAATAACAGGGTGCCTTAGACCACTGTACTACCAAGGCTCAACTTGGCAAGCATTACCAAGACATGGCTGGGCTTGAAAGCAGGAGGTTCTGAACTGTACCTGGTAGGATTTGGGGGTATGGCATCTCTCAGATCTGCAGGTCATGGGAGGGGAGTCAAACAGTTGTCATCCGGGACTATCTGTTGGCCTTCAGAGGTGCTGCTCCACAAGTTGCCAGTTGTGAGATCCTGTTTCACATGACATAGGCTTGTGGGATCAGTTGGGATTGTTGCTACTGTATGAGTCTCCCTGCTGCATCGCAACCTCCAGGCTACGAGTTGGCTATGAGTTCACCAGGCTTATGGTATGTGAAGGCTTCAATTTGCTGCCCTGGGATCAGTAGTGGGATTCAAATAATTTAACAACCGATTCACCCAGGGTCAAGTTGGCCATCGTGGGAGACATGGCCCATCCCTATCCTCCAGCTCTGCTGCACATATGGGATAAACCTCCCGTGATGGCCAACCTGACCCTGGGCAAACCGGTTGTTAAATTACCTCCCCTCCCCACTATCAAAGTGGATCCTGGGTGCTGCGCTGCATTGGAGAAATGGGAAACCCAGTGGCCGGCATGAGGGAAGGAGGAGGAACAGGGAGAAGAAAGAGGGAAAGCAGCCTTCTCCTTCCCTCGTGCCATCCGCCCAATTGCCCATTTCTCCATTGCAGTGCAGCGCAGCACCCAGGATCCACTTTGATTGCGAGGGGAGGGAGTAATTTAACAACCAGTTCACTCGAACTGGTGCGAACCGGCTGAATCCCACCACTGCCTGGGACTGGTCTTGGAAGCAGCTCAGGAGTTCATGGCCATCACCGATTGCATCAGAAGTTGATGCCCACCATATTTTGGTTGAGCCCTGGCAGGAGCCGGATGGGGATAATGGTGACTTTCAATCCCATTAACCATGGTTTTCTTTTGGGTTTGTTTTGGGTGCTGGGAATGGGGCCCCACAATTTTAGGCTGGTTCACCTCCTTCCTCTGGACCAGTCTCCATTGGTGTGGTCAGTGCTGTATCTGCTCTTTTTAAATATCTAAATGAAGCCAATGGGTGGAATCACCACAGGATGAGGTATCATCAGTATTCTGATAATATTCAGGTATAAATATCCATCCTGGGAGAAGTAAGTCATGCTGTGGATGCCCTTTTGTGATGCTTGGAGGTTTTGGGGGGGAGGTTTCTGGATGGGGAACAACAAGTTTCAACTGAATCATGGTAAGTGGCTGTGAGTAGGAGGCTCCTCTGTATCTAGGGACATCATCCTCCAAGACGCTGGTGAACTCCATAGCAAATCCCAAGATGGCTTCCAACAGCTCAGACAAGGAAGTCTGTAGGTACCAGTTACATTGTGTGTTTTTATTTGTAAAGCACCCAGAGTCACTCAGGTGAAATGAGCGGTGTAGAATTTTGACAAATAAATACATAATTAATTTCTGGTTTGAAGCAAATAAATGGAAATAAGCTAAATGTTTCCTCTGTATTTCCAGGATGATGTTGTGATGGGGACTTTGACTGTGAGGGAAAACTTCCAGTTCTCTGCTGCACTCAGACTACCAAAAACAGTAAAAACTCATGAAAAAGAGGAGAGAATCAACCAGATCATCAAGGAGCTGGGATTGACAAAAGTGGCAGATTCAAAGGTAATGAAATTAAATCTCCCAGAGGACTGAGTTCCATAAAGGGAGGGCTAAAAATGGACTAGCTTTCCCTTATGTGATGATGGTAAGTGATATTTTTGCCAGAATTTCAGAGCTGATAATTCAGGGGAATTCCTGAATAATAAGACAGATGAAATATTCAAGCCAGATCCATTAGATCAGTGGCCCCCAACCTTTGGGGCACTAGGGACTGGTTCCATGGAGAGAGGTTTTTCACGGACTGGAGGGAGCATGGTTTCGTGTGCTGCCTGCATCCTGTGGATGGGGCTTCACTTGTTTGCATGGCCCGGTTTCTGGCATGATGTGGCCCAGTGCTGGTCCACAGGGGCCAGGAGTTGGGGACCCCTGCATTAGATAGAACTGCCTTGCCTAACCTCATGCCCTAACATTATCATGGCAGCCAGAATGACATAAAAACTCTCTGGAGGGCACCAAGGCTTGGAGAGGGTGTTATAATGTCAATTGATATCTTTTCATTTGGTGACCTATTACTTAGGAATATTTGTCAGCAATATATCTTGATTTTCTAGATACCCTATATTCAGAACTTTGCCTACAACATACATATACACACATATAGAAGATCTGTCTTCAATTATTTATATTTGGATCTGGTTCTATCTCTGTATATCTAGCTATACAGTAGTGTCCAAAATTGTGGAAACCTTTCGGGAAAAATGTATTTTCTAAAACTACCTAATAACACCACTTTTTTTTGGGAGTAGTATCACCAAATTATAAACAGTGGAAAGATAATTTAATCAAGAATGTAATGCAATAACTTTTATGAAGGATTTGCTATTAGAATAGCAGTTACAGTATAAAAAATAAAAGTGAAACACGTAGAAAAAATGAGATATACAAAAATCATCACCATAGAAACAATGAGATACACAAATATTATTACCATGTCAGTTAATATTTAGTTGGGTAACCTTTAGCATGAATTACGGCCTTACAATGTCTTCCCATGGATTGAACCAAGTCTTTTAGTTCTGCACATTCTGTTATCATGTGAAACCAAGATTGAATGATTGCTTCTATTAACTGGGTTTTATTGCTGGGTCGCTTCTGACTAACAAGTTTCTTTAGTCGGCTCCATAGATTTTCGATTGGGTTAAGGTCTGGGCTATTCCCAGGCCATTCCAGCAGTGAAATATGATTATCTTGAAACTTTAAAAAAAAAAAAAAAAGTGGTGTTATTAGCTATCAAACCTCAAAAATACACTTTTCCCAAAAGGTTTCCACAATTTTGGCCACTACTGTGCTTATTCCAAAGTCTATACCTTATTAAGATATATACCTATATCTTATACTCCCCAGGACATGGGGAATATTCCTCCTTTCATTTCTTTGAAGTCAAATGCAATTTGGCTGTGCTTTGTGGCATTAATAGTGAGACCTATGATATGATCTATAACACTTCTGCGTAGCTTAACTACAACACAGTATCAACCTTTGGTAGAAGTGAAGAACAGGAAGACTTATGTGCTACCAGATTGTTACATTAAATAAAAGTTAAAGATGGAGAATACAATATTCTGGCTACTAAACTATCAGACTGAGAGAAACTGGTCTTAATGAAATGAAATGAAAGTAATGTATTATTAGCTTTCTGATTAACCATACTGAAGTAAATATGAACCAGGTTAAATGGAGGCGAAGTACAGAGAGTGAATACTTAAACCAGATATTGCTATGTGTTCTGTCCCCACACCTCACATAGGCAGACATACAAACAAAAGACGTCTACCAGTAATTTATTTTTACAAGCTGACCTGAATCCTTTGGCAGATAAAAGTTCTGGCAGCTACTTTCCGAATGCCTGCCAAGTTTCTTATCACCTCTAGAAACAGGAGTCAGCGTATCTGTAGTCCGTTGCTGGGGCAACCAAGAGTTCACAAGGCACAAAAGAGTAGTCAGAAGTATTCACAAAATCCAAGCCTTAATTCCGAAAGATATCCCATCCGAAGCTCACAATATGCAGTTTTTGTCCGTCACAGAGCCTGCAGAGCAACCCCACCCACTTTTATCCCCTGTGGGGTATGGCTCAGTGACTCAACAATCTCTGCCCCTTCCACACCTCTTCCTTTGCTGCGCACGCCTCTCCCTCCGACGCTGCCTGGGATCAATCCAAGATTGATCTTCGTCACTCCCTATTAGTGGGTGCCCCGACATGCCTTCCTCCTGGCCTTCAGCTGGAACCTGAGGCGTTGCCAGAAAGGAGGGTCCTGGAGAGGGAGGCCTTGTCAGTTCCTCCCCATCACTTTCAGAGTCATCTTCCTCCATGAGGACAGGCTCAGGAACCGGAGTCACAATACTATGGCTTGTTCTTATCAACACTGAATTAGGGTGTTTTTTTAAAAATCTGATTTATATGCCGCCCTTCTCCGGAGACTCAGGGCGGCTTACAATGCGCTAAGCAATAGCCTTCATACTTTTGTATATTTATACAAAGTCAGCTTATTGCCCCCACAACTGGGTCCTCAATTTACCTACCTTAGAAAGGATGGAAGGCTGAGTCAACCTTGAGCCTGCGAGATTCGAACCTTCAGTAATTGCAGGCAGCTGGTCTTAATAACAGGGTGCTTTAGACCACTGTACTACCAAGGCTTCAGCAAAGGGTGCCCCAAAGTAATACTGTATTAACATTGTGCCTGTGCTAATGTACCACTGCTAAGGAATACATATTCCAATTGGAAGGGTCCTTGGTACTCTTTGAGCTTGGTTGTTTTCTGGTAGACATTTCGTTACCCAAACTAGATAACATCATCATCATGATGTTATGAAATGTCTTTAAGAAAACAACCAAGCTCAGAGAGCACCATGGGCCCTTCATTTCAACCCTGAGCTACAAATATTCTCCTTTAGATTGTTTTAAAATCAAATTCAAATATGAGTCTTGTATTGTTGGGTGCTAAATAATCTCTCCGCCTGAAAATGTTTTCAAGAAGACAGTATCATAGGCATTACCGTTTTCCATTAGGTTGGAACTCAGTTCATTCGTGGTATATCAGGAGGAGAAAGGAAAAGGACCAATATTGGAATGGAGCTCATTACCGACCCGGCCATTTTGTTCTTAGACGAGCCAACCACTGGTCTTGATGCCAGCACTGCCAATGCCGTTTTGCTGCTCTTGAAAAGGTAATTGCTAGATGAAGTGCTCCATGCAGAAACTACACAGACAATAACTCGAGGTTTTCAAAAACAGACTGGACAACCATTTGGCTGTGATGTAGAAGACTCCTGCCTTGAGCAGAAAGGTTGGACTCAGTGGTGGGATTCAAAGAATTTAATATTTGAGCCTTGGTGGCGCAGCAGACTAAAGTGCTGTTAAATAGCACCAGCTGCCTGCAATTACTGCAAGTTCAAATCTCACCAGGCTCAAGGTTGACTCAGCCTTCCATCCTTCCGAGGTAGGTAAAATGAGGACCCGGTTTGTGGGGGCAATAAGCTGACTTTGTATAAAAAAGAACACCGCTTGGGGGGGGCCCCGAAAGCCCTACTAAGCAGGTATATACGAAAGTATGAAGGCTATTGCTTAACGCATTGTAAGCCGCCCTGAGTCTCCGGAGAAGGGCGGCATATAAATCGAACCAATAAATAAATAAATAAATAAATAAATAAATAAATAAATAAATAACTAAATAAATAACCGGTTCTCTGCCCTAATGACCGGCTAGGTGGGTGTGGCCAGGGGTTATGACAAGCAGCAGCACTTGGCCTCCTGCACCCCCCTGGGAGCAAAAATGGGCTGCAGGGGGGGGTGACACCCCCCGTGCCCTGTTTTCAGCCAAGTAGGCCTCCCTGCAGCCTCCTGGGAGCAAGAACGGGCGTGTGGGGACTCCTGGAAGGGGCGGGGCGGGGCAGGGCAGGGCAGGGCGAGGCCAGCCAGCAATTTAACAACTGGTTTGCCCGAACTGGCCTGAACCAGATTATTATTATTTATTATTTTATTAAATTTCTATACCTCCCTTCTCCCGAAGGACTCAGGGCGGTGAACAGCCAAAAGATAAAACACAGAGATACAAAATTTAAAATAGATTAAAACAGATTAAACAATTTGGCTAAATTTTAAAATATCCCATAATTAAACAAATTAAAATTAGTGTTTAAAATTTAAATTTTAAAATTTTAAAAGGGAGAAGATTTAGGCCAGGCCAGCTTGATGAAATAAAAACGTTTTAAGCGCGCAACAGAAGGTGCGCAGATCCAGGATCCTCCGTATCTCCGGGGTGAGCTTGTTCCAGATCGTAGGTGCCCCCACAGAGAAGGCTCTCCCCCTAGGGGCCGCCAGTCGACATTGTTTGGCCGACGGCACCCGGAGGAGCCCCTCTCTATGGGAGCGTACTGGCCAGTGGGAGGCTATTGGTGGTAGCAGGCGGTCCCATAGATAACCAGGTCGTAAGCCATGGAGCGCTTTAAAGGTGGTAACCAGAACCTTGAAGCGCACTCGGAAGACCACCGGGAGCCAGTGCAGCTCGCGCAGGAGAGGTGTTACATGGGAGCTCCACGTTGCTCCCATAACCACCCGCGTGGCCACACACTGCGCCATTTGGAGCCTCCGAGTGCACCTCAATGGGAGCCCCATGTAGAGAGTGTTACAATAGTCCAGACGAGAGGTGACAAGGGCATGAGTGACCGTGTGTAGGGAGTCCCGATCTAGAAAGGGACGCAACTGGCGGATCAGGCGAACCTGATGAAAAATCCTCCCGGTCACGGCCATCAAGTGCTCTTCTAAAGACAGCCGTGAATCCAGGAGGACACCCAAGTTGCGAGCCCTTTCCGTGGGGGCCAATGATTCGCCCCCAATAGTCAGCGATGGCACCAGCTGACTATATCGGAACGTCGGAAACCACAGCCACTCAGTCTTGGATGGGTTGAGCCTGAGCCCGTTTCTCCCCATCCAGATCCGTACGGCCTCCAGGCACCGGGACATCACTTCAAGGGCATCGTTGGGGTGGTCCGGGGTGGAGATGTACAGCTGGGTGTCGTCAGCGTACTGATGGTACTTCACCCCGAAACCACGGATGATCTCGCTCAGCGTCTTTACATAAATGTTGAACAAAAGGGGCGAGAGGACCGATCCCTGCGGCACCCCACATATGAGGGGCCTCGGGGTCGACCTCTGCCTCCCTGTCAACACAGACTGCGACCGGTCGGAGAGAAAGGAGGAGAACCACCATAATACGGTGCCTCCCACCCCCAACTCTTCCAACCGGTGCAGCATGATACCATGGTCGATGGTATCAAAAGCCGCTGAGAGATCTAACAGGACCAAGACAGAGGAGCAACCCCTGTCCCGAGCCCTCCAGAGATCATCAACCAACGCGACCAATGCCACCATTGGTTGGACTAGATCTCCAAGGTCCACGTCAGCTCTTTGATTCCATGATTCTATAAAAGGAAATGATGCTACAGTATTTATGCACAAAGACCACACATAGAATAAAAGAAAGCCATTTTCTACAACATCATCCCCTTGAGAGGATCAAGATATAATTCAGAAGCAGCTTTCTTAACAGCCCCACCCACTTCCTGAAAAGAAAAAAAAAGAGAATAATAAAAAGAAAGAAACCAGTTAAAATATTGACATTTTGCACAGCCAAACAAAATGACAGATGGATAAATGGATGGATGGATGTTTTAATATGCTGACTCTGTAAACCGCTTAGAGAGGGCTGTAAAGCACTGTAAAGCGGTATATAAGTCTAAGTGCTATTGCTAATTCATTTTCCCCCAAAAAACAAAACAAAACCTAGGGTTTGAGTGATCAATATTAATTTTCAGGGTCTTTTATCTTGAGGACTTAACTTTAGTTCTTTAACATATTTCTGCTTTCTGTGCAGGATGTCCAAGCAAGGAAAAACCATTATTTTTTCCATCCATCAACCACGCTACTCCATCTTCAGACTGTTTGATAAGTTGACCTTGTTGGCTGCGGGAAGACTTTTGTATCATGGACCTGCTCAAAATGCCTTAGAATACTTCAAGACCATCGGTAAGTGTCCAGAAGGCTATTTATTGAATGTCTGAATATCACCTTTTCTTTTTCAAATAACTGATCTGGGATCTGATATAATTTGGAACCACAATGTTGATGGAGAAGTAGTTACCTCTGAGATTAATCTGCCAAAGATCCGGTATGACTCTTAGTTCAAAGTATTCTGTCCCCGTCTCACACACGCACACAAACAGTCAGCCAGGAGTTAAATAAAACTTGCAGACAATAAATTCCTTCGATAATAGGATTGGCAGCAACCCAGTAGCTGCTTGCCAAGAACTTTACTCACAGAGAACCAAAACAAATACACAAAGCCACAGAGTTGTCAAGTCCAGTCCGTATTAAATCCAAGGCAGGCAGATAATGTAGTTTCAGAGATACAATGCGACTCGCTAGTTGTTTAGTTTTGTCCGTCACAGAGCCTGAATGGCCACCACACCCCCTTTTATCCCCTGTGGGGTGTGGTCCAGTGACTCATCTTAATCTCTGGCACGCCTCCTTTTCTGCTCCGTGCACTTGTCTCTCCGACACTGGCGTGGATCCAGCCAAGACTTATCTTCGTCACTGTCCGACTGCGACTGCTTGGTGATACCTGGCTCCTGGCCAATCTCTTCTCCTTTGGGAGACTCCTGAGGCATTGCCAGAGAGGAGGGTCCTGGAGTGGTAGGCCTGGCCAACTCCTCTCCTTCACTTTCGGAGCCTTCTCTCTCCGATAAGATGGGTTCGGGGGCTGGAGTCACAACACAAAGCACAGGTGAAATGCTCCTGGTTCGGACCGGATCAGGTGATCCGGAACCAGTTGTGGCAGATGGTTTGGAGAACTGGTAGCAATGGCGGTGCGAGGCTCCGCCCACCCACCCGGGTGTCATTATTTCCTGCTTTTAAAAGGTTAAAAAAAAGGCTCTGACGATTGCGCGCCACAGCTGTAATCGTCAGAACCTTTTTTAACTTTTTAAAAGCATTTTTTACAACCTATTCGCCCTAATAGGTTGTAAAAAATGCTTTAAAAAAGTAAAAAAAAAAAGTTGGGCACACCCACCCAGTTACATTACCCCCCCAAGCCACGCCCACAGAACCAGTAGTAACAAATTTTACATTTCACCACTGGTTCAAAGACAACAGTAAAGGGCAGGATTGCTCATGGAGTATCAATATGAATAAAATTATAAATTACCTTGCTTAATTTAAACCTATGTATTAGATCTTGGTAATGTATTTAGAGAGGCTTTGCACAAAGTAACCACAGATGGTCCTTCAGAAGCTCATCATATTTCGAGGCTTTCCCTCAGTTTTCTTAGTACTCCTTCTTTGTGTGCATGTTTACGTTCAAAAACCTGAGGAAAAAGTCTGAAGCTGTCACAATGAGCCTTGTAGAAATGTGGCCTTCAGAAACCACCTTCCAAAGACTTTCCACAGTTCTATTACACAATTAATAAGGTGTACCAAATACTGTACATGTATCTTGGAAACTTTGGAGTCTAACCATGTGCTGTTATGTACTACTACTACTACTACTACTACTACTACTACTACTACTACTAATAATAATAATAATAATAATAATTTTATTTCTATACCGCCCTTCTCCCGAAGGACTCAGGGCGGTGTACAGCCTATTTAAAAACACAAGACAAAACAATGATTAAAATTTAAAATGATTAAATAAATTTGGCTCAATTTAAAACCCCAGAAATTTAAAATACCCCAATTTAAAATTATTATGTTGATAGCCCGGCCTGGCGGAACAACAGGGTCTTCAGTGCGCAGCGAAACACCCGCAGGTCGGAGATCTTACGTATTTCCGGGGGCAGTTCATTCCACAGGGCTGGGGCTCCCACAGAGAAGGCCCTCCCCCTGGGTGTCGCCAGCCAACATAACTTGGCTGATGGCACCCTGAGGAGACCCTCTCTGTGGGAGCGGACTGGCCGGTGGGAGGCTATTGGTGGCAGAAGACGGTCTCGAAGGTACCCGGGTCCTATGCCATGGAGCGCTTTAAAGGTGGTAACCAGCACCTTGAATCGCACCCGGAAGACCACTGGGAGCCAATGCAGCTCGCGCAGGAGGGGTGTCACATGGGCACAACGAGTTGCGCCCATAACCACCCGCGCGGCCGCATTCTGGACCAGTTGGAGCCTCCGAGTGCTCTTCAAGGGAAGCCCCATGTAGAGAGCATTACAATAGTCTAACCGGGAGGTATTGAAATAATTTTGGAGAAACATTTATTAAGAAGTAGCCACGGGAGATATGTATGGAAATGTCAAGTCCTTCTCTGAACCAGTGCCCCACCCCCCCCACTTTTTGGGCACCAGGGAGTGGTTCCTTGGAGAGGTTTTTCCATGGACCAGAGAGGGCATGGTTTCATGTGCTGCCTGCATCTCGTGGGGACTTTGCTTGTTTGCATGGCCTGGTTTCTGACATGCTGTGGACCAGGATTGGAGGTTGGGGACTCCTGCTATAAACAGTCAATTCTCCATTGACTTGTGGCCTCCCTGGTTCCTGTCACCAGCATTAATTCCCAAAGGAAAACAGCAGTGACGATCCTACTATCTTTGCTAAGACGGAGTCCTGCATTTTTGAAATTGGTGGATAAGTTTTTTGCTTCTCCTGGAGAAATTCAGAGAAAATGTCTACCCATTTCTCTGTCCTCAATTTTATGAGTGAATCTAGGAAGCCTGTTTTGGGCCAACTCTAGCAAACAGTAATGTACTGTAGGTGTTTGTGGTATTGTCAGAAAAGCTTTGCCCTATATTTTCACCAACCGTTGGAGTGACGCAGAAGCGTTTTGTTTCTTTTCTTTCTTTTTGAGGTTATGAGTGTGAACCATACAATAACCCTGCTGACTTTTTCCTGGATATCATTAATGGAGACTCGACAGCTGTGGCTTCTCATAATGAAACCGACAAAGGTATAGTGTGCAAAAGATAGCTCCTTGTTCGGAATCTGGTATGTTATATGGAGAGGCAATCTGCTTTTTGCACTGTCAACTCTGACATTGAACTCCCTTAGGATTTGAATAGTGCAAATCGCACAGCAAGAAACATATATCCAAGTACATTAGATACATTTGTATGTCAGTATTCCCAAATGCTGCATAGCTTTCGCTAATCATGGCGCCACAGAAAGTAGGGAAAGCTGCATCCATCATTACATAGATCATCTTTTAATACCAGCCCTGACAAATTGATGGCAGAAAAATTGGCCTGATTAACATTTTGTTCCGCAGGGTTAATTGGACTGCATTAAAACCATAGGCTTATCAAACCTCTAGCTACCCTATGCATCTGGTGAAGAGAGCTACAACCCACAAAAGCTGGTACCTTTTAATAAAAGTTTTTTTTATTCAGTATAATGAACTAATATGAAGGTTAAAAGATAATATGTATGATAAGAAACTGTACCTTTATGTATGTATTCTTTAAAAAAAAAAGAATAAAAGTTGTTACCAAAAAAGAATAACAGAATAACAGAGTTCGAAGGGACCTTGGAGGTCATCTAGTCCAACCCCCTGTTCAAGCAGGAGACCCTGTACCATTCCAGACAAATGGCTGTCCAGACTCTTCTTAAAAGCCTCTAGTGGTGGAAAACACTCAATTTCTGGAGGCAAGCCGTTTTAATTGATCTCACTGTTAATAAATTTCTCCTTAGTTTCCAGGTTACTTCTCTCCTTGATTAGTTTCCATCCATTGTTTCTTGTCTTGCCTTCTGGTAAGGTACTAGCAGCAGTGGTGGGTTCCTCCCGGTTCAGCCCAGTTCTCCCGAGCCGGTAGCGGTGACGATATGATGTCACCGAACCGGTTTTGCCCCCCCCCCCCCCCCCCCCCCCCCCCCCCGCCCCCCCCCCCCCCCCTCTCCCCCCTCGTTATTCTTACCTTTTATTTGGCCCCACTCCCAATCTATTGCTGCCTCCTGAATCCCGGCTGATGGCTAGAGGGAAAAAAACTGTTTAAACTCTTGCCGCAGGGCTTCAAAGGGCCGCCCTACAGCTGATCAGTGTTAAAAGAAAACAAAGAGTAGACCAGTGCCTGCAAAAATACATGAGTAGAACAGTGCCTGCAAAAATAAATGGGTAGACCAGTGCCTGTAAAAATACATGAGTAGATCAGTGCCTGCAAAAATAAATGGGTAGATCGGTACAGCTCTGCAAGCAGTTAAAACCCTGGTAGACCAGTACCTCTGCTAAATCCTAAATAATCATCACATGACCATCAAGCCATGCCCACAAAATAAGCCACACCCACAGAACCGGTAATAAAAAAATTTAGAACCCACCCCTGACTAGCAGACTCTGGGGTTTTTTGGCCATCATTGACTAACTTCGTTCCTTCTACTATTTCTGTCTTTTTACCAACCTTTTAATGTCGGTATTGTTATTTCATCTTAGATTTTAGTATGCACCACTATGAGCCACCTTTAGATGTAAAAGTGTGGTAAAAAATTCAAAATAAGTAAAAGGATATATACACTCCCACCGATTTGTGGGTGACAAGAAAGGTGTTGGACCAAGGGTGAAATGCTCCCGGTTCGGACCAGTTCAGCTGAACTGGTAGCAATGGCAGCCGGTGGTTCGGAGAACCGGTAACAATGGCGGCATGAGGCTCCACCCACCCACCCGGTCATCGTTACTTCCTGGTTTTATCCAGGAAGTAACCTGTATTTTACCCTCTGCACATGCGCAGAAGGGTTTGTGCATGTGCAGAGAGTCTATGCACGCCTGTGATGCGCGCATGCACTTCCAAACCGGTTGGTAAGGTAACTAGATTTCACCCCTGTGTTGGACCATGATCAGTGAGATACAAGTCAAAGTTTGAACTCGGCTACACAGAAATTAATGTTGCCAGGTGTCCACTATTTGAGCGGACAGTCCGCTTTTTTCACATTATGTTCACTATTTTTTTCACTATTTTTTTTCACAAAATAGTGGACATTTTTTTATTCAAAAGCTTTATGATGAAATTAAAATGTAATTTAATATTTTACATATTATTATAATATATTTGATGTTTTGAATTTTAAGTAAAGTTTTGAAGTGATTATTTTAATACGTGTTAAAATGTTTGTAAGAAAATATATAATTTAATTGTAATTTTTTTACTACTTAAACACCCCCCCCCCCCATCCCCAGCTTGTCCGCTATTTTTGGAAGCAGACCTGGCAACCCTAACAGAAATTCACTGGGTGACTTTGATTCAGTAACTTTGTTTCAGCTTAATTTATCTCCTAAGATTGTTATGGGGAAAATTAAAAGGAAGAGATATATGTATGCTACCTCACCTTCCTAAAGGAAAAACAGATATAGATCAAACAAACAAACAGTTCTGAACTGGCTTTGCTGAGATCTATAGTTTGTACAGTTTTCTGTCATCATCATTAGGTTAGATTAGATTAGAATTCTTTATTGGCCAAGTGTGATTGGACATACAATCACCTCCCGTCTCCTCCCATTTATGACTGTATGACTGTAACCTTGTTACTGGTATCCTTACAATTTATATTGACTGTTTCCTAATATGATTTGATTGCTTATTTGTTCCCTATGACTATCATTAAGTGTTGTATCTTATGATTCTTAACGAAAGTATCTTTTCTTTTATGTACATTGAGAGCATATGCACCAAGACAAATTCCGTGTGTGTCCTATCACACTATTCTATTCTATTCTATTCTATTCTATTCTATTCTATCCTATCCTATCCTATCCTATCCTATCCTATCCTATCCTATCCCATTCCATTCCATTCCATTCCATTCTATTCTATTCTATTCTATTCTATTCTATTCTATTCTATTCTATTCTAATATATCTTCCAAAAATACCATACTGCTTTATGCCGATCTGTGAAATTATGCTTATTCTTGGTACTTGGTTGGTGAAAATTGCATTGCCCTTCTCCACACATCTAACATATTAAATGATACCATCACATTGACTCTATTCTATTCTATACAAGGAATTTGTCTTGGTGCATATGCTCTCAGTGTACATAAAAAGAAAAGATGCAGTCATTAAGAATCATAAGGTACAACACTTAATGATAGTCATAGGATACAAATAAGCAATCAAATCATATTAGGAAACAGTCAATATAAATCGTAAGGATACAGCAACAAGGTTACAGTCCTACAGTCATAAGTGGGAGGAGATGGGTGATAGGAATGATGAGAAGATTAATAGTAGTGCAGACTTAGTAAATAGTTTGACAATTTTTGAGGGAATTATTTGTTCAGCAGAGTGATGGCGTTTGGGAAAAAACTGTTCTTGTGTCTAGTTGTTCTGGTGCGCAGTGCTCTATATCGTCATTGTGAGGGTAGGAGTTGAAACAGTTTATGTCTAGGATTTATTATTATAAATATAGGTAGTCCTCAACTTACAACAGTTCATTTAGTGACCGTTCAGTTACAACAGCATCGAAAAAGTGACTTATGACTGTTTTTCATATGATCGTTGCAGCTTCCACCCTGGTCACATGATCAAAATTCGGATGCTCGGCAACCGGCTCATACTTATGATGGTTGTAGCGCCCTGGGTCACATGATCACCTTTTGCAAACTTCTGGCAAGCAGAGTCAATGAGGAAGTCAGATTCACTTAACAACCTTGTTACTAGCTTAAAAACTGCAACGATTCATTTAACAACTGTGGCAACAAAAGTTGTAAAATGGGGCAAAACTCACTTAACAAATGTCTCACTTAACAACAGAAATTTGAAGCTGAATTGTAGTCACAAGTCGAGGACTACTTATATTTAAGCAACAATATTCTCACAATGTTGAATGCAAAACAATATTCAAAGTAATTAATTTTCCTCTTCTCTCTTTAAAGATGGTACTCAAGATCAGACACTGGCTGAGAAATTGGTAGAGAAGTATTCCAGTTCTTCTTACAATCAAGAAACCAAAACAGAATTGGAAAAGCTGTCTGCAAAGGGTGAAACCAAAAAGACCACTTTCCAAAAAGTCACCTATTCCACTTCCTTCTTTCACCAGATGAAGTGGGTCTCCAAACGGATGTTCAAAAATTTAATAGGTAATCCTCAAGCCTCCATAGCACAGGTAATTTAAAAAGTTTTAAGCGTCCTATCCGTTGTCATTCCAGTCTTATGCTTACTCTAAATGTAGATGAGCTGTGGTGGCACAGTTGTTGGAATGCGGTATTGCAAGCTAATTCTGCCAACTGCCAGGAGTTAGATCAGTGGTGAAATCTAACATTTGTTACTACCGGTTCTGTGGGCATGGCTTGGTGGTGGGAGTAATGTGACTGGGTGGGCATGGCCAACTTTTTTTTTTTTTACTTTTAAAACCATTTTTTCTACAACCTCTTCGGCAAAGAGGTTGTAAAAAAATGCTTTTAAAAGGCTCTGACGATCCCAGCTGAGTTGCCTGATTGGCAGAGGCTTTTTTTCTTTTTTGCTACCGGTTCTCCGAACTACCTGCCTCCATTGCTACCGGATCGGGCGATCCAGTCCGAACCGGGAGCATTTCACCCCGAGTTAGATTCTCACCAGCTCAAGGTTGACTCAACCTTCCATCCTTCTGAGGTCAGTAAAATGAAGACCCAGATTGTTGGGGGTAACTCTGTAAACCACTTAGAGAGGGCTGTGAAACTCTATGAAGAGATATATAAATACCGGTATAAGTGCTATTGCTACTGAAGCTGGTGAGGTATTGCTTGGGACTTAGTTGTCTAGGCTACCTTATTTTCAAGTCCTTCATTATTTTTTACTTTTCCTCTTAGAGAAATCTTTTCAGTACTGTTGAGAAATGCAGAGGGTTGTTGTTGCTTTCGGTTAACATGCCTTTCCATCACCTCTAAAGCATCTCTGACCACCCACACCTTCCAATTTGAGAAATCCCAGCTGGGAATTCTCTCCTGGAGAAAAAGCTGATCTTCTCTGAGACCCTTCCCATTCTCAGATATAGCACCAGTTTGAATGCTGCCTCTCTAGGAAACTAACCAGGGGTGGGATTCAGCTGGTTTGGACCAGTTCAGGTAACCGGATACTAATTTTACATCTGGTTCACCGAACCGGTAGTTGCAAGGACTGGCTGGCCCCACCCACTCCTCCCCTCCCCTCCCCTCTCAGGAGTCTCCATGCGGCCAATTTTGGACGCCAGGTAAGTGCAGGGCCCACGTGGAGGTTCTGGGAGGGTGAAAAATAGGCCTCCCGGAAGTTCCAGAAGTCTGGAAACGGGCTCGTTTCCGGCCTCCGGAGTGCCTCCAGAGCCCAGGGGAGGCCGTTTTCGCCCTCCCGGAGGCTTGAGGAAAACCTCTGGAGCTCCCCAGGCTTTAACCTCTGGGTAAAAATGCCCCCCCTGCCATGGTGCAGGAGGCCGAGTAGTCCACGCCTACCATGGCCACACCCACCCAGCAACCGGGCAGAGAACCGGTTGCTAAAATTTTTGAATCCCACCCCTGAAACTAACTAACCTGATTATCACTCCATTTCCTGATCCAAAGGTTTTAATTCATATTTTATTATGGAGCTGTAAGTTTCTTCTTGGCTGGGACTTCTGCCTCTTGGGCCTCCTAGAACTTCTGCTCTTTAGCATGCGTCTCCAACCTTGTGTGACTTATGCCACATGTCATGGCAAATTCATGTCAGAGTACCCAAGGATACAAACAATCCCACACCCCAATCACCATTCAGTTGATGTGTCCGGCTGTGTTTTATTGCTGTCTCCGTGCCGTACGGGACAAGGAGCTGAGATTCAGGCTTAACATCTTGGCAACTTTAGGACTCGTGGACTTCAACTCCCAGAATTCCTCAGCCAGCATGACTGGCTGAGGAATTTTGGGAGTTGAAGTCCATGAGTCTTAAAGTTGCCAAGGTTGGAGTCTCCTGCTCTAGCATGCCTCTAGCATGTTTTGCTACTTTCCTCCAGCCAAGACACCCTGTTGTCTTATTTTCCTGCTCATCTCACACAGTAGTTTCCTGATTCTCCCTATTTTTTTCCCTTCTGGCTGCAAAAAGCAGACATGAGAAGAGAACAATGAGGGTGAGGATAAGTTGGCTGTCATTTTTGTACCCTTCCATTAGCCAACTGTAGGAGCTCAGTAATGATGGATGCTAGCTTGACAGCTTGAAATTGCTGTGGAAGATTTGATAAGTGAATCCAGTGACTGTATGTGATAGATAAAATCAAGGTCATGGGAAGTGTTAATACCACTTTATAATGTCTTGGTAAGACCACACACTTGGAAAACTGCATCCAGTTTTGGTTGCCATGATGTAAAAAAGATGTTAAGCCTCTAGAAAGAGTGCAGAGAAGAGCAACAAAGATGATTAGGGGACTGGAGGTTAAATCATATGAAGAACGGTTGCTGGAATTACGTATGTCTAGTTTAATGAAAAGAAGGACTAGGGGAGACATGATAGCTGTGTTCCAATATCTCAGAATGTGCCCCAAAGAAGAGGGAGTCAAGCTATTCTCCAAAGCAACTGAGGGCAGGACAAGAAGCAATGGGTGGAAACTAATCAAGAAGAGAAGCAACCTAGAACTAAGGAGAAATTTCCTGACAGTTAGAACAATTAATCAATGGAACAACTTGCTTCAGAAGTTGTAAATGCTCCAACACTGGAAGTTTTAAAGAAGAGATTGGATAACCATTTGTCTGAAATGCTATAAGGTTTCCTGCCTAAACAGGGGGTTGGACTAGAAGACCTCCAAGGTCCCTTCCAACTCTGTTATTCTATTTTGTGTGGAAGTCCTCTTAGATTCAATAAACAAAGACTGATTTTGGGTCCCCGATAAGTGTGATAGTTATGTTTTAAAGGTAATTGCCAGGGAGAAATAGCAGCAGATAAAATCTGTCCACTTTCACCGTCATTTCTTAGAGGTTTAGTGGTGTTGGGAAACTTTAGAAGTGGAGCTTAATAAAATGATCAGATCTGTTTGATTTCTTGTTAAACCTTTGCTCTCCACGGGGCAATAATCGCCTCATCACAACGGCCTTTGATGTGGTATGCTGATGTTATGAAAATCCCTTTTAATTGCATTGTAAAAGCTTGACCTTGTGACAAGAATTATGCCCTTTAAGAGCCTTATAATCCCCCCAGGGCTGAGAGTCCTAACTTCCTGCCCCTCGCAATTGTTTTGATCTTCCTAACCTCCTTAGGAATGGTTTTGAAATGAAATCTGTAAATGCCCCAAGGTATGCCTTTAAACCTTTGGGTTAATCTTCTCAGACTGGTCTTGCTATGATCCTTGCTCTCTAATACAATTGGCTTAGTTGCACGATTTTTGACACTAGGTCTTTTTGGCAGTTTTTGGAATCTCTTCAAGATCAACTCTCAATGGCTTGATATAGGTATATAGTCAGCAGGTTCTGACAGGTTCTGGAGAACCAGTAGTGGAAATTTTGAGTAGTTCGGAGAACCGGTAGCGGAAATTTTGAGTAGTTCGGAGAACTGGCAAATACCACCTCTGGCTGGTCCCAGAGTGGAGATTTTGCAATATCCTTCCCCCAGGAGTGGAGAGGGAATGGGGATTTTGCAGTATCCTTCCCCTACCATGCCCACCAAGCCACCCTCACAGAACCGGTAGTAAAAAAATTTGGATTTCACTACTGGCTTAATACTGTTACATTGGCTACAAATTTAAACAATGCTATGTAGTTCTTGTAGTCCAACTTGTAGTTCAACTATTTCAACGGTATGTTTTGCTCCCTTTGTAAAGACTAAAGGCCCCTTTTGTCTTGGACAAGTATTATTGTTCTCCACTTAAGGATTGCAGCTTCCAGAATTCTTGAGCTAACATAGCCTTTATGCAGAAAAAACAATTGCTACCAACCTGCCTTCCATTGAGGACTTGTAGACTGCACGAGTCAAAAAGAGGGCTGTGAAAATATTTACAGACCCCTCACATCCTGGACATAAACTGTTTCACCTCCTACCCTCAAAATGACACTATGGACACTGCACACCAGAACAACTAGACACAAGAACAGTTTTTCCCGAACGCCATCACTCTGCTAAACAAATAATTCCCTCAACACTATCAAACTATTTACTAAGTCTGCATTACTATTAATCTTCTCATCGTTCCCACCACCCATCTCCTTCCACTTATGACTGTAACTTTGTTGCTTGTATCCTTACGATTTATATTGATATTGTTTCCTGATTGCTTATTTGTACCCTATGACTATCATTACGTGTTGTACCTTATGATTCTTGATGAATGTATCTTTTATTTTATGTACACTGAGAGCATATGCACCAAGACAAATTCCTTGTGTGTCCAATCACACTTGGCCAATAAAGAATTCTATTCTATTCTATTCTATTCTATTCTATTCTATTCTATTCTAT